AGGAGTGGCTGGTGGGTTTGAACCTCCAGCCTTCTGGTTAGCAGTCAAGTGCCTTAGGCACTATGCTACCAGAGCTCCCTTCTACCCTTTGGCTATTAGCAATAATACTGTCAGAAACATTTGTATACAAGTTTCTGCTTGGACCTATCTTTTCATAACTAGGAGTAGAATTGCTGGGTCATTTGGTGACTAAGTTGAACTTTTTGAGGAACCGCCAGACTGTTTTCTAAAGTGGCTGTGCCACTTTACATTCCCCCCAGCAGTATATGAGGTACTGCTTTCTCTACATACTCGATGACACTTGCTATTAAACATTTTGGTTCTAGCCATCCCAGTGGGTGTTAGGTGGTATCTCACTGTAGTTTTGATTTGTGTGTCCCTGATGATTAGTAGATGTTGAGCATCTTTTCATGTTTATTTTCCCTCTGTATATCTTATTTGGGGAAATGTCTACTCAGATTTCTTTAAAAGTTGGATCATCTGTCATTTTATTATTGAGTTGTAAGAATTATTTAATATTCTAGATACAAGTCCTTTATCAGATATATTATTTGCAAATGTTTTTTCCCAGTCTGTGAGTTGTCTTTTCATTTTCTTGGTAGTGTCTTTTGAAGCACGAAAGTTTTTAATTTTGATGATGTCCAACACTAAAATGAGTAACTGTTACTACAGTATGACTTTTTTTTAACATATTAAAGAAATCAAATTAACATACAGTAATCAACTTTGGTTTTCATACTTAAGTAACTCATGGGTATTATTTAGAAGTTATTGTCAGTATCATAACACCTGCATGGGGCGAACATTAGCAAACAAAACAAGAATGCAGGTGGTAGATTAGGTTTTGCAGGATCCTCTAAAAACAATGCTGAAAATACCTCCTACTCTCATTTAAGCTTTCTCAGAAACAAGTTCAGGGCCTTAAGTGATCCTTTGGACTTTAGCAGAGTTATATTGTTTTATTTTATTCCAAAGTGAGGCTATGGCCCAGAACCAGGTGTTTGCCTTTTTTCAAGCTAAAAAAAAAATAAAAACCCGAATGAAAAGACATTTCTTACCAAGACAAGATCTCCCAAGTCCTCCGTAACAGCTGAAAGGGAAAGTTTTGAAGTTAGTACATTTTCATTTCATCCTGTTACAATTAGATTTGCTCTTCTTGCCTTGTGTATAAGCACCATGACTCACACATAGAGATTAATGAACATTTTTGAAATAATCAAGAGCAAAATGTGCTTAATTTATCTGTCAGGAAGTATTCTCAATGCCCATAAGGGTCAGGGTATGCAGAGCTTTTTATTGATCTTTTCAAACCTCAGGACCACATCTGAGAGGTGAAACATGTTTCTAAATAGGTAGAAATCAGACTATTATTAACTGTCATTTTGAGGATTCTAAGCAAAACATTTAGTGGTTGTGGGACGATTGCTGTATAGATAACAACACTTTTTAATCTAAAAGGATAGACAGGCAGTGTATCATGGAGATTAAGAGTATGGAGTCTGGAGCTCCACTGCCTGGGTTTGAATCTTGGCTCTGCCATTTCCTAGATGTGTGAACCTAAGTAAGTTATTTAATCTCTTTGGGCTCCAGCTTTCTTATCTATAAAATAATGATGGCAATAGTGTCTGCATCATAAAACACCAGTTAACTGTTGAGTCAATTCTGACTCATGATGACTCCGTATGTGTCCCATAGTAGTTTCATCATCTGATTTTTTGCAAGTAGATGGACAGCCCGTTCAGGCTTTCTGGGTAGACTTGAACCTCCACCATTCTGGTTAGCAGCCAAGCATGTTAACACTGTGCATGGCCAAGGGATTCCATCATAAGGATTAAATGAAGTAACATTTACAAAGAGTAAAAAGCAAATCAATGTTAGAGCTGCTATTATGTAGCACTGTGAAGAATGGGCATTCTGCATAACTGAATGCTCATTAAAATGAAGAGTTAACTCTCAAAGCAGTAACATCATTTAATCATTTTCCAAGATCCTAAAAAATACACACCTCCTAACTTAGATGGTATAATGAACCTCCTGCAGTGACATCATAATGAACATCAATTGCTGCAATGTAGATACAGGTGCAGATACATGTGTGTTGTGAGGTGCTGTTGATTTCCAACTCATAGCAACCCCATGAGACTGAGTAGAACTGCCCCATAGGGTTTCCCAGGCTGGAATCTTTGTGGAAGCAGATCACTAGGTCTTTCCCCTTAGGAACCACCGGGTGGGTTCGAATTACCAACCTTTTGGTTAGCAGCCAAGAGCTTAACTGTTGCACCACAAGGGCTCATTAGATACATGGATAAGATGTGAGACATAGGACTGGCTCCTGGAGTTATTCATGAACTTGCTTTCTACAAAGCATCCCAGGTGCAGGCCTGTTTCAGAAGGTCTGAATCTAGCACACAAAAGCATAGAGAGGTAGGACACGTCAATGCTTTCCTTTAAGATTGATACTACTTTATATCTCTTGTTGCCTTTATCTTTTCTCCTTGGTCTAACAGATGAATTCTTACTCATCATTCAAAGCCCAGTTCAAATTCATTGTCCAAGATGCCTCTGTGTCCCCACAGAAATGACTGCTGTCCTGTGTGTTACCTTATACAGACCTTGTGTAGGTCTTTTTTTTTTTTTGAGTTATAAGAAAATACTCTTTTTAAAAATTATTTTTGCGGTGTTTCCTCCCCTCTCCTCCCACCCCTGGTCCTTATGCAGGTCTCATTGTACATGCTGGAGGTGTTAGCTTGGGGCTCCTGAGGGTAGGAATTGCACCTTGTTTTGTAATTCTCAGTGTATTCTCACAGTAGACAAGCAGTGTTAACTGATTTTATAAAGGACTGAAAATGTCAAGGCAGAACCAGTGGGATGATACCAGTAGACAACAGAATAGTGAAAAAAGGTTACTGGACCTTGTTTCTGAGAGCTCTATAGCTGTCTGGTAATGCAGGCATGCAAAGATGGCACAATAGATAGAAAACTGTCTTGTCTAAACATTAGCTTGTAATCTGTAAGCAACCACTATAGGATACCTTTGAAAGCTCTAGGACAATGAAAATTTCTAGATGTCAGATTCTTTATTTTATAGGAACTTGAAGCATTCAACATCTGTCCCTCTGGTTTGTATTCTGACATCGGAGCATTTGGTTTGCCGGAACCTGCTAGAGTAGAATATGTTAAGCTTTGCTAAACTGAGCTAGTTTGATCTCTGGAAAATTTTCAGTGGAGACACCTTTCAAAAAATTTGAAAAATCCAGAATTGGTCTGGAAAATGGGTTGATAACATTTTCATATTCAACTAATATAGTATTTTATTTACAGTTTTCAGAAAATGGTACACAGACGACTGTATTTATTCTGAAATTTTGCGTTTACAATTGGTACTAGTTGAAAGATTATTTTTCCTAGAGAAAATTTGGAAAGTAGCATGTGGGATGGCTTTTCGTTCTTTATTCCCTACTCTGCAAGTTATAGTTTTCTTTTTATCAGAGTTTAGTTTGGCCATAAACTGGTGTGTGTCCCCAAAGATCCATGTACTAGTTGGTACGATGCCCCTGGGCTATGGGTTTCAGGAGGGATGTTGGCAGGGCTTGCCCTTTTACTAGATGTCCCCCAACAACACAGTTATTTGGTATAGTCAATTTTCCTCTAGCTCAGGGTAATGTCTTTAGTGACCGTATCACTTTTCAGGCATCAAACTATCACACTCCCTTGTTCTGGAAAGGACTGGGTGGTGCATTAGGACACACAAAGTACACGCAGGACAGCGATGGCCTAGTTTTCTCCCCGGGCTGGCTCTGCTCTGCAGGTCTCACTCCTTCTGGCGCATCAGTAGCTACAGCACCACTTGTGATCTCCCCATTACTCCTGTCTGCTGCCGACTGCCACACTCGTCTGCCTTTCTCTAGGCAACTTTTTTCTTTTCTCATTTTTCCTTGAAAACAAAGCAAAATAAAATGAACTCATTTTATTTTGCTTTAAACTTTCATACCAGCAGCTCATTTTATAATAGCTATTGACAAACAGTGATTCCTCCTCTTTCATTTTGGTAGCAAATTCATCAAATGTAATTTTCAAGTAGAATTTCTAAGATTGCTCATTGCTTAGATATGATTTCTTGGTTGCTGTCTGGTAGCATAGTACCTAACACATTTGACTGCTAACCAGAAGGCTGGCGGTTCAAAATGGAGCTACTCCTTGGAAGGAAGGTTGGACAATCTACTTCCATAGTGATATCACCCAGAAACCCAAGAAGGGGTTGCTATGAGTTGGATCCGACTCCATGGCAGTGAGTTATTGTTGTTAATTTTTAAAAAATTGACTTTCTTGCTGTTGGAAGCAACTAAACCTTTTTTTTGGGGACCAAAACTGTAATAAAAGGAAAAGAAAAAAAGGAAAAAAAAAAAAAGCCTGTATTCCTACTTTTAAAATTTCCAAATCTACTCATTTAGTGTCTTTATTTTTCAAAAATAATAGCAAATAAAAGGAACATGAGGCTGGCGCACGACCGGGCAGTTTCACCCTGTTGTACGCGGGGTCGCCATGAGTCAGAGCCGACTCGATGGCACCTAACGACAGCTCTGTACTTGTCATCGTGCCAGTAATGCTGATGCATTATCTCATTTTAATCATTGCAACAAACTATGAGGGTAATAACAAAATAAGGAAGCAGTAATTCGAGAAATCATTTTGACTGGGACATTTCACATTTAGTATATGAAAAAAGAAAACGTACTGTATTAAGGTTTTTCGGTTATTTTTAAGGCAGACTGCAAGTGCCTCCATTATTTCACAGCAGCTGGCTATGTCAGGAGTCCCGCCATCTGGGATTGGATGATGATGAGAGATAATTCCATACTGCTGGTAGAGGTCCAAAAGGTTTGGGACTCTGTATTTTGACAGCTCCCCTCTGGTGCAGAAAACAAATATGTCTTGTATACCATAGCTCTTTAGTTCTTCTGCCAATAGACCAAGATACACACAGAGACACAGACACAGACACACACATTACAATTTAAGGTCAAGAGGGAGGATGTGGAGTTAAGTTTCTTAAGTCAAACTAAGTAAACAACAAATGATAAGCTACACATTTAAAGGTTTCATTGATACTCTAATACAACATTGATCTATTTTCAAACTAGGGTAAAAATCAAGTCACTAAGCACAAAATAGGAACTAGAAACATATGAACCAAAAAGTGGTTAAAATTAAACCTGACTTTTTAAGTGAAAATGCCTTATACTCAAAGATGAGTCAATTATATTGCTGCTCTTGAAATATTTTGCAACACTACTTTAGAATAAATAAAAAAGCCATCCAATATTTCACAGTCAACTCTTGCAAAGGAATGATAGCACATTTATCTTTCTTTTTCTCACAAATCAGCCATGTTTACGAACTTCATCACTTTGTTGTTTGTTTCTCCTTCAGTACCACATACTCAAAGCCTTAGATCCTCCTTACATTTGCAATGTACCACATACCACATATTTACTTTTATGGACTAGCTCTCTAGAAAATAAAGCATTCACTGTATTAAAATTGTTTGACTTAGCTAATTTCACTATGATATGAACTAAGCAGTCTTACTGTAGGACATTCTATATACTGGAACTTCCTAATGGCAGTATTCACTATAGAGCATTTGGTTTAAAATGAAAAACTAGTGCCTACGGCATTTGACTGCTAACCAGAAGGTTGGCGGTTTAAACCCACCAGCCACTCCTCAGGAGGAAGGCTGGCAATCTAATTCCATAGTGATACCACCTCAGAAACCCAAGGAGGAGTCACTATGAGTGGAATCTGACTTGATGGCAGTGTGTTAAATTCTGGCCGGTCTGAGGGCCTACCCTCACTAACACTTCGCAAATCCAAGGACACTGAGCTGTTTAAGTACAAATTGCTCTTTCTCATGAAACTCTAGATCTGCCCTGTCCAATATGGTAGTCACTCACCCTACATGGCTACTGAGCACTTGAAATGCAGCTAATCCATTTTGAGATTTATATATGTGTAAAATACACATCTCATTTCAAAGACTACATACAAGAAAAATGTAAACTATCAATGATTTTATACTGATAACATGTTGAAATGAGTAATATTTGGGAATATACTAGGTTAAATATATTACTAGAATTTTACCTGTTTCTTATTACTTATTTTAATGTTGCAACTAGAAACATAAAGTTACATATATAGCTTCCCTTGTGCCTCCTATGATATTTCTGTTGGACAGTGCTGCTCTAGATGCTGCTATTATATTTTTATATGTCATGAGATTTAACTTCTAGTGACCATACCACCATTTAAGAGAACAGGTGGTTTTCTAGTTGCCTCTTGTACATACTAGATAGTTTTTATCAAACACAGTTTTTAAACTATTCTAGAAAGGAGTGTGAGGTGGTATCATAGTGGAACTGCTGCAGGGAGACTGTAAGTCTTAGCCATCAAACACTTGGGGGGAAATATATGTATATGTGTGTGTGTGTATACATTTAAAAAAATACACACATACATTTTTTAAAAAATGAAAACCTATTCTACAGAAGATCCTAAATGAACAGGGTTTTCCAAAATACGCAAGATTTAAACCAATGGTTTAAATTATATTTTTCTTATGACTTAAGTGTTCTCTAAATGGAAGTTTCTACCATTGTGATAGTGGGTACGTCTAAAGCAGAAAATCTGCACAAACTCTGCAAAGGTCAACTAATCTGTTAGTGTGGTGGTTATGTTTCTGTGTCAACTTTGCTAGGCCTGGTTGAGTGGCTGGGCAGCTGGTGGTAGTTATTTCCCATGGTGAGAACTGGTAATCAACACCATGGTTGAACCTATTGACAGCAGCTGAATAGCTGCCATTGGGTATGTGGTCTGCTTCTTGTATTTAAGAAATAGCTTTGGAAATGGTCTCTAGCTTATGGCATACCTGGACCCTGCGTGTAGCTATGTCATTGTTCAGCAGCCTACCATGCTCTGACGACCTGGGGACTTATAATGGACTTAAATTAATGGCCTGCCATGTGGTTTGGTAACATTGGGACTGTGCCTTTTTACTTGTCAACCTTGGGCTTGGCAGCCTCAGTTGCCAGCACCTGTCTGAGTGAAGAAAAGCCTCTAGTTCCAGTGGGCCGGGAGCTGAAGGCAGAGTTGAAGCCCAAGGCTGAGGGACTTTCACCCAGCCCTTAGAGCCTGGCACTTTGAACTTGGACTTAAAGCCTCCAAATTGTAAGAATAAACTCCTGTTTGTTCAGGCCATCCCATTTGTAGTATATATGCTTATCAGTGCAGCACTAGGTAACCAGAATAGTTAGTCACTTAAATCTTTTTTGGTAGGTAAAAAATAAAGAAATACATTAGTAAACTGATATTCCAGAACAATCAGAAAAAGTATTTTATGATTTAAAAAGTCTTTATTAGTCAAAATCAAGCAATTTTATATATATATACACTTTTTAACTTTGGCATATTTATAAGGGTAGTTGTAGGCCTTTTAGACTTGAGACAGTCCAGGCTAACCAGAATAAAATATTTTGAAAATCCACGTGTGTTAGAATCAAGTAATAAGTAAATTCCAGACTGGAGTAGATTATCGGAATAGTTGTAGGATGATCAGACCTCAGGCTATAGTGATATGCACATCCTTGGGCATGCAAAGATCAGTCCCCGCTTCGTCCTTCCCACCTTGTTGGGAGCGATGGACAGGATGGACAATTTCACTATAATCTCTGGGTTCCCAGCTCAGGCTTAATTTTTACTACCACAATCAAGCCTGCAAGGAACAGTACGTTAAAAGATTTGGTCAACACATGTGTCAGTTTTCTATTTACTCATTTCCTCCCACAACTTACATACTAATATTGTGCAGTTTATATGTATAATGTAATTACAACAATCAGTAAAAAGAATACCATGTTTAGGTAAGTACTGAGTTCTCTGTGCCCTTCATAAATACCTCTTCACACATCACACTAAGTCCATAGTTTGAAACTTCACAAAATATTTAATGTTTATTTGGTATATCAAGAAGAGGCTATACAGTTTGTTCCTTTAGACAAAGGGATTTTTCAATGTTATTAAGAGAATATTTTAGTATGGTTGTCTCATATTATACATACCTGTATCTTTTTGGATATTTCTTCTAACATCTTTAAATTTACAACCTATAGTAGTATAAAGCAAGTGAAAAAGTCAGTTTTGGGCCATATATAATAAGCATATTTAAACACATATACAGGCATACCTCATTATTGTGCTTTGCTTTACTGCACTTTACAGATACTGTGTTTTTTACAAACTGAAGATTTGTGGCAACCCTGTGTCAAGCAAATCTATTGGGGCCATTTTTCCAACAGCATGTGCTCATTTTGTGTCTTTGTGTCACATTTTGGTAATCTTCACAATATTTCAAAATTTCCATAGTGTTAGTCACACTTAGTGGGAGCTCTAGTAGCATAGTGCCTAAGGCACCTGACTGCTAACCAGAAGGCTGGAGGTTCAAACCCACCAGCCACTCCTTGGAAGGAAGGTTGGGCAATCTACTTTCATAGTGATACTGCCTCGGCAACCCAAGGAGGGGTCGCTGTGAGTCAGGGCCAACTCAACCGCACATAACAACAACAACAAGAAGTCACACTTACTAGACTACAGTATAGCGTAAACATAACTTTTATATGCACTGGTGTGATAGTTGGAGCTGTGTGTTAACTTGGCTCCACCACAATTCTGTGTGGTTTGAGCTGTTGTGGTGTGGTTATTCCCATGATGGGATCAGATGACTATGTTCTGAGTGGCCAATCTGTTGAAGGGAGTTTCCCTAGGGGTGTGGCCTATTTCCAGTATATCCAAGGACATCCTGGGAAGAGACATTCTTCTGTGGATCAGGATTCTGTTGTGCTGCCTACAACTGTCCATGAGTGAACAGTCCACCATTCAGCCTGGAGATCTTGGATTTGTCATTTGTTGGAGTCAACAGCCAGTACTGCCTGCCAGCCTTGAGCTCCTCAGCCCCTGTGGTTGCAAGAGCCAGGAAAAGCCTCCAGCTTGATGTTGATCCAGGAACTTTGGACTTGCCAGCTTCTATAAGTGCGTGAGCCATTTTCCTAAGATAAATTTCTCTCTATATATACACATATATAAACTTTACTGGTCTTTGTTTCTCTAGAGAACCCAGTCTAACACATTTGGTACCAAGATGGTTCTAGAGAGACAAAATCATAAGGATGGGCTTCCTAGATTGGTTCTCCAGTTTGATTAATCTTAAAGACACTAGTGACCCTGCGTCTGTTAGTAAAGAGGGCCCTGCTAATCTGTGGTGTGAGGTGGCAACATTAATACGTGAAATAGCACCACCAATAGATCAAGTACTTGTGAG